AGATTTATTTTATTTTATTTAAAAGTAAGCAAAATCATTTCTGCAATGTTTGCAACTTCGCATATTTCGTAGTGCCATAGGCATTGAAGAATATGGCAGTTTTAAAATTTAGTAAAAATGTCTTACAGTTTTAAAAATATTAATAAAAAGAAATTTTCACTTCAAAAATTACTTGACATAAATTACTTATAAAACTTCAAAAGAGCATGAAGGAATATTATTACTTCAGTATTTTGTGAAAGACTCAGAAAATGAGTCAAAAAAGCATTAAGTTTCAAGTATAAATGCTTAACATTAATTGAAAGTGCAGCTTACAAATTTGCATATTTATTAATACCAAGCTATGGAATGTAAGTGATTATTAAGATCAAAACCGGTATCGAAATGTAATTTGTTTGGATAAATCACGCGTAAAAATTATGAAGGAGGAATCTGATAATGATTATATTCATGCAAATTACATTAGCACACCATATTCGGAACGCCGATTTATTTGTACTCAGGTTTATCGTATCTACCTAACAACAATTTTCTACATCATTTTTCTGTTTAATATTTATATAATTAATTTATATGCTTTATCGTATACACTAACATATCATTAATTTAGTTATATTTTTTAATTTTTCCAAATTTATTTTTGCATATTTTAACGACAAATTAAGCAATCACATTTTTTTTTGTTTTGTAAGCGAATATTTTGTCCCCAGAACTCACAATGCACATAAAATAAGACATTAATTAGATAAATAGTATTTAAAAGTATTATATTCAAGGCTCCACTAGGAAATACGGTAGCGGATTTCTGGTATATGATTTGTCAACAGAAAACAGAATTTATTATTATGCTAACTAATTTTAACGAAAATGGACGTGAAAAATCAGCATGTTATTTTCCACTTGCAATTGCTGAAACATATCCAATTAACGATATTGTTTTAAAATGTCATACTGTATGCATTTTTATATTTTATCAATATTTCATTTTTTCATTAATAAGTTAAACAGACTATTATTTCATTAGTTTTTCTGTAGAAATTAACTTTTTTACTACGGTGCAGTTAATATCTGCTTAAAAATTAGGGATCGCTGTGATAATGTACGTGGAAATTAATGACTTGTGAAATACGCATATTACTAACAAAAGCAATAACTGTTACGCCAATATGCATGATTGTCCTCTTGTTTATTAAAATATATGAATATATGTATTTAATCACTGTTAACGTGATATATTCTGTCTCATACTGTTAACGTGATAGTAGTTTATTGATAATATAGTAGTTTATGATTAGTCCCCAAATTTTTCTTTCTCTGCATATTTGAATAGAGTTTACATTAATATTGATAGGATTGAATTATGATTCCAGCCAAACATAGATAACGTCAATTACGACGTATAAGTCTAATTTCAATCAACTTGGAGAGAATTGAAAGAATTAGCATTTAGTGCGAACGTCGCATGGATTTTCCCTCTGAAATATGGCAACGAACTATTGAAGTAGTTTTGAATGAAACAGATAGACGAATTGTCACACACTTTCACTGGACTGATTGGCCTGACCATGGCGTACCTCGCGATTTTATCAGCCCTTTGCGTCTTCTTGAAGAGGCAAAATTTATTTTTATTAATAGTTTAAACTTTTTGAAAAGTAATATAATGGATAATTTGCATATTTGAATTAAAATTCATATTTAAGGTATTATTACTAAGTCAAAGAGCCAATTTTCATGCTTGTATTCAGTAAAATTGATGAATAATACACGTAAATTACCACTGGAATTGCTATATGTATAATTGACGCAAAATCAAAAAATTATTTTTTTGAAAAAGAAATTTCAAATTTTCCTACTGTCGTCTTTATTGTACTATAGCAATACAGAAGTGATAACAAACTCGAATAAACCATGCAAGTAATGAAATTGAGAACCGAAATTTAAATTCAGCATTGGAAATAATTGTAAAATAGTTAGCAAGTGATTAATTGCTATAACTTTTGATATTTAATAAGCTAATTAAAACTAATGTTTGATTTTTTAGGTACGTTCAAGTAAAATGCCTATAGTTCTACACTGTTCAGCTGGTATTGGTCGTTCAGGTTGTTTACTACTTATGGAATATGTTCTTGAAAATTTGCAATACGGGGAACACTGCGCCGATATGGCTGCCGCACTCGGGATATTACGTGAGCAACGAGCCGGTTTGATTCAAAACGATGCTGTACGAGCCAAATTCATGCTTATCTTTCATTGAAAATTAGTACTATACTCATAGCAATATGTTTGTTGAATAAAGATTTAATTTTCGAGAAAACCATTTTTAAATCAAAAAAATTTGATAGAAATCTCTAAAGATTCGTAAAATTTTATGGCTAAATTACTAAAATTGAAAACTGAAAATATAAAATCAAAATTGAAAACTGAAAATATAAAATATAAAACTGGAAATAATTGTAGAATAGTTAGCAAGTTATCAGTTATTATTAATTTTGATATTTGATAAGTTAATTAAAATTAATGTTTGTGATTTTTTAATATGAAAAAACCTCCGAAATCTCCGAAAATCTTTTTTAATTATTTACTTGAATCTTTCTTATTTTAGCAATATCTCTATGTTCATCGCACATTGCTAGAGTACTTCATATCTGCTTGGAAAATGAGAAAATCAAGTGAAGTCCGAGAATTTTACAGGAATTACGACCAAATTATTAAGTTGCTTATCTAGCGAAAACAACTCAAAATAGCATGATATCGTGTAATTTTATTTGTCTGCAATAATTTCTTCTTATACAAATAAACTAATAAAATTTGTTCTTGTAAAATTTTTCGAATAGTGTAATGAAGTTTTAGATCCATCACAGAAGTAACTCAGATCAGATTCCTGATTTGCCCAGAAGGCATGTAGAAGTAGTGTCTCGCGATCCTATATAAACCGTGAATAAAATTTAAAAATATTTTTTGATTGCCTGACTTCTATCAGAATTAATATAATCGAGGAAAAGAATTCATGAACGTTTTGTCAATAATTTTTTGGAATACCCAATTTGAAATAAAAATCATTTTTTAGGTGGCATATGCTTCATATTTAAAAACAAATGCATTTGGCACTACTGAAGTTGAAAATTTTTGTTTGACAGTGTACAGTAATCTTACATCTCGATTTTGAGTAATGAAAAAATTAGTGAATAACAAATTTATTACCGTAGTAGGTTGTGATCACAATGATCAATATGCAATAAGTAGTTAAGAGTAAGTAGTGAATTTCCAAATATTGAAATTAAATACATTTAATCAACTTCCATTACTACATGCATTATTAAATAGATTTCAATCTATACCAAAAAAATTATTGCACAGAAAACATCAAAAATCACTCATAAGCCTCGAAACATTATCTTCTTTAAAAATTTCACTTAAAGTAATGACTCCCCCAATATGTATCGTAATTTTTCTTCGTCGACTGCATTACATTGCAGAAACATTCGTAGACAAAGATGTCAGTGCAGTTCACTACCATTCATGTTGAATCTAATGTGAATGTAAACTTTAACACGATCTAATAGAAATACCATATCAGCTCTTATCCCTTAAAAAGCACTATAAATTATTAATATAACTTTATAATCTGGTATGTGAAGATGCTGAGCCTTTTCTGCTAAATTTAGTTGGCCATGCTTGGCAAACCGTTCATCTATAATTGATTTTCAAGCCTTCGGGCACAAGTGAGCAATGTTCTTTCACAGCTGTCTGTTTCTGTGCAGCCGTGAGTGTGGGTAGGAGAGTGAAGTAACAACCACAGCAGAAAGCATAGCAGTCTGAAGCAAACTTTCGAATCAGGGGTGAACGGAAAAATGTTGTCAAGGAATGACAAAGATCTTTAGTTTAATTATTATCATACCCCTGTACATCCTCGACATGTGGGTGCACAGACGGTATATTTAAATAAATAAATAAATTCAAAGTAATGCCCGGAGAGCCACAGATATTTCATCATATTTTTCGATCTTGAAATTTATAACAGAAATTTGTACACAAGACGCTTCAAATGATCTTTTTATCTCTTTCAAACAAAATTCATGATTACTTACTGACCAATTAATGCATTTTTTGATTTCTCTCCCATTGATTCTTATATACATTATTTGTCGGCTTTCCAGCATTTAAGCAGATCCGGAAGACCTTCTAAAATATGAGTAATGAAGGCTTCCGGTGCCGATTCAAAGTACCTCAAGGGCGAAGAAACAGCAATCTCAAAAGTCTCAACTGTCCTTTTTCTCCTGCAATGAGCACTGCTTAATTGCCGACAAATATATTACAAATTAAATTCTTCATAACTATACGAACACTCTAACAACATATCTAATCAGAAACACCTACAAGATCAGGTCTCCCATTTCTTGCCCCGATTCTTTTTCATTCGGAGCTTGCATCAGCAGGTAAGGACGCTTTTCTTCAAGCATCCATTTATCGCTGCTGATTTTAAGAAGAGGAGACCAAACCGCTGCTTTATCACTGCGCCAACCCTTCAGCAAATCGGATCGGCACTCACAGATGTCACAAACTGAAAAGTTATCACTTTGTCATATTTTTTCATTTTTGAATTCACATAAGAAAGTTAAATCACACATGCGAAACTTCAATACATTTTTTCATATCTCTCATGCAAAATATATGATTACTTACTCATGAGTCTGATATTCTTTTCGCATTCTGTACGCTGTTTGTCGGCTTTTCCAGCTTCTTGAGCTGATCCGGAAGCCTCCTTACACCATCAACAATTGAGACTTCCGGTGCCGACTCAGCGCACTTCGAGAGAACAATAAGGTCAGTTCTCTCCTGCAATGAGACATAATTTGATTTTCAAAAAC